TGGCCCGGCCCAGGTGAACCACCTAAGGCACTGCTCCTCCGCACCCAGCTGTGAGAAGCGGCAGAGGGGGTCGCCATTTCCCCGCTCTGGCCACGCCCCCACATATAGCGTCACAACCCAGCGACCTGGGAATCCAAGGCGCCCTTCTCACACTTAAAGGGCCCGAACAGACCAAGAATGGCGCAGGAGGATCTCAGAGCCCCAGAGCCAATAGATCTAAGCGATGAAGAAATAGCAAAACTCACAGACGCACAGTTTAAAACATTGGTGATCAGGATCCTCATAGAACTGGTTGATTATACGGACAAATTAGACAAATATATGAAGGAGAAACTAATTGAAATGAATGGAATTGCACAGGACACCAATAGCAATGAAAAGGAAACTGGGACTCAAATCAATGGAGTGGACCAGAAGAAAGCAAATAATGGCCAAACAGAAAAGAGTCAAGAAGCAAGAATTCAAAGAAATGAGGAGAGTCTTAGGAACCTCCAGGACATCTTTAAACGCTCCAACATCCGAATGATAGGGGTACCAGAAGGGGGAAAGGCACAGCCACCAGTGGAAAACTTATTTGAACAAATAATAAAGGAGAATTTCCCCAATCTGGCAAAGGAAATAGACTTCCAGGAAATCCAGGAAGCTCAGAGAGTACCAAAGAAGTTGGACCCAAGAAGGAACACACCAAGGCACATCATAATTACATTAGCCAAAATTAAAATGAAGGAAAGAATCCTAGAAGCAGCAAGAGCTAAGGGGACAGTCACCTACAAAGGAGCCCCCATCAGACTGTCAGCGGATTTCTCAAAAGAGACCTTACAGGCAAGAAGGGGCTGGAAAGAGGTATTCCAAGTCATGAAATCTAAAGACCTACAACCAAGATTGCTCTATCCAGCAAAACTTTCATTTAAAATGGAAGGACAGATAAAGTGCTTCTCAGATAAGATCAAATTCAAGGAGTTCATCATCACCAAGCCCTTATTATATGAAATGTTAAAGGGACTTATCTAAGAAAAAGAAGTTAAAGAAACATGAACAGTGAAAGGACAGCAAACTCAGTTATTAACAACCACACCTAAAACAAAAGCAAACTAAAAGGACAGCTAGATCAGGAGTGGAAACATAGAAATGAAGATCTCAAGGAGGGTTAGCAACAGGGGGAGTGGGAGGAGGAGAAGGGGGGAGAAGGTACAGAAAATAAGTAGCATAGACAGTAGATAGAAAATAGATGGGGGGCAAGAATAGCATGGGAAATATAGAATCTAAAGGACTTGAGACACATGGTCATAAACTAAAGGGGGGGGTAATGGTGGGGATGAGGGGTAGGGTGGAGGGGAGTAAAGGGGGAATAGAACAACTGTAACAGCATAATCAATAAAAAAATAAAAAATAATAAAAAAAAAATAAAAAATAAAAAAAAGAAATAGGGTTCAGCCTAAATATGGTTGCCGGTTCATATTTTTAACTTTTGCTCCTGATTACAAAAGTTCCACATTTGTGTTGAAAATTTCAAACCAAGCAGAGTTATAAGGAAGAAAATGAAAGTAACCCCACCCTCCAGGGATAACTGCTTAACAGTTCAAACACACAGCTCATATGACACAGACTAGGGCTAGAATGCTCTGAACACTGTGTGACTTCGGGTAGGTTGCCTAACCTCTCTGGGCCCTTGTTGCAAAGGAGCAAAGATGACACAGTTCTACAGGCTTTGTAAGGATTGTGCAAGAGCCCTGGCTCTGTCCTAACTGCCTGGGTGTGGAGGGTGAAGTCACCTCGTGCCAGCCCCACAGGATGGCCCAGGTGGCTGCTGAGGTTCCCTGCCGATGGCTTTCCCGAACCCCAAGCACTGGGACCTGAGTGGGGACACTGGGGCCTGAGTGGGGAGTCCCAGGAAGTTTAGGCTTCTTCCAAGGCCGGTGCCAGGGACCACTCTACCCAGAGAGCAGAGTCCCAGGCACGCTGGGCATCAGGGACTTGGCCCGACACAGCCCAGGGTGCAGAGGCAGGTTGAGGATCCTACGGCAGGGTGGCTGGGTCCCTGCCATCTCTCCAGCAGACGGGCCCAGGGTCTGCCCCTGCGTCTGATGAGTACCAGCTGCGTGACCATGCGCACGTAGTCTAGAATCCCATCGTGATTAGTTCATGAGATGTCACCCATAGTGAAGGAAAATGGCATAAATGGCTATTTCTGTCCCCTTCTCATACTTTTCAACAGTGCACTTTGAAACCATTCTTCCACTGTGCCACAAATTGTGGACCTACTATGTGCCAGGGCTGCACCACAGGTAGGAGGGTGGGGTGATGGGCATGACTGTGGGAGCCAGCTCCCTCTCCTGAGGGCACCCCTGCCACTGGGCCCTTTCTCACACAGGGTCTTACTGAGCCCTACGTGGATCGGATTGTATTCCCAGCTCACAAATGAGGAAACTGAGGCTCAGATTCATAAGGCCTCCTGCCCAAGGTCAGAGAGCGGATGGTGAGCTGGGGCTACTTCCTGTGCTCTGTGAGAAGGCCACTCTTGAAAAAGAGTGACCCCAGGACAGATCCAAAGGTGACTCTGAGGGCAGTTTTGGACAGTGCGTGTCTGGTAATGCCAACCTTAGCTACACTGAGCCGCCCCACAGCCCACAGGGGTACATATTGTCATCTCCGTCCCAGGAAATGGGGAATGGAGACTCAGTGAGGGAAGCGACTTCCTCAAGGACACACCTGAAGGGTGGGGAGTCCTGGCCTGGCCTTCTGAGTTCAAACCCGCACCTCTCCCGACACTGTCTCGGTCTATTCCTAGGCCCATCTAAAACCAAAGGGTCCAGTTCTGTCCTGAGTTAACGACCATAGTCTTCACCCTCCTTGGTGGCCCTCTGCCCACCAGGCCCACCATCCCAGCCCCTTGCTTTTTCTGAAGTCACCACAGACCAGGCTGTACCTCCAGCCAGAAGCAGTATCTCCACTGCCTGGATTGGGGACCTTGGTGGCTGTGCCTGACCCAAGTCATTGTGTGTTAGCTGGCTTCCAGGAGGGACCTTTCCCTGAGCAGAGCCTCTGCTCCTACCACACCTTCTGGTGTCCTGTGGTGACTTCCCCCCGAGTGTCTGTGCCAGACCCCAAAACCCAGAGAGAGAGGCATGCTGTTGTACCAACTGCGCTCCTGGGAACGGGGGCCCAGAGATTTAGTGAATCACAAGAAGACGGGGTGTGGTGGGCTTTGGTTCCTTAAACCCGGGCCTCGGACCATCGAGAAGTAGGCAGCTTTAAACCCGTTGTTCAGATGTGTGCTCAGAGGCTCAGTGGGGGAAAGAGTGGTGGGATCGCCGCAGCAAAGCCACCACGTGCATGCTTTTCAAGCTGTTCTGGTTCCAGAAAAGGAGAAAGAGGAAAACTCCACAGTGCTGAGCAGACACCTGATCCCCGGGCCCCACTGTGCCGCCGCCACCACCAAATATATGTATTAAAAAGTTTCTTTTAATAAAAACATTTTTTAATTTTCAAAAGTTGTCTTTTTAAAGAAATGTAGAGGAGTATAATGAATGCTCTTGGTAAAAAAAACACATTGTGGCAGATCGAATTTGTATGCTATGAAAAGTCAGCAGCTGTAACATTTTATGATTCATGTAAAAAACATGTTGAGTTCCTCAGCTGAATAAGTAATATAAACAAAACAAATTCTTTTCTTTTTTTTCTAAGATACCGTCTGGGTGTTGCCATTTTCTGAGGACCTCTTTGCTGCCCTCAGCCAATGTTTATCTGAAGGTGGAAAACGCCCTTGGGGGGAAAAAACAGCCCTGATATCTTCTAGAATTTAGGCAGAAGGTTTGGACAGGAGGGAACACTAGCTACGCAAAGCAAATGCAGAAGTCGCCTCTGCTGATACAATCACAGATTAACGGTATACGGCAGCAGTGAAATCCCCCCGCCCTACCCCCCCCCAAGAGGGGAGGAAACCGCAGAATGTTCCTGACTCTGCACCCCGACCCGGTCGCGCAATGTTTATGTTTGTGTACAGAGCACCACGTCGGTGCCACCGCAGCGGACTCCGCTGCCCACGGGCCGTCACTGGGGCTCAGGGCGCGGGTGCCCCAATGGGGTCTCCCCAAACGTTTGTCCGGGTCCTGGAGAGCCTCCTTAAACGCCTTGGGATTTGATTTCGAATCCGGCCCATATGGATGACGAGAACCAGGGTGAGGGTGTCGGGCTCGACTCTGTTCCGAGGTGGAGCCACCAATCCGTACATATTTGTGGAACTGAGATGGGGCAGTTCTATGTGTCTGAATGGAAGGCATGTTAGTTATTAAATGTACATTTTTTAAAACAGGAAGTTCTGGGAAACAGGAAAACATTTCCCTGAAGCCTCCACTCCAATTCACCTCGGTTGTTCTTGTAAGAGCATTTCTATGGACAAATTTCTTAAAACGTTCTCCAACTCCCATTTCAGGCTCCTCTTTGTTTCCCTCCCCCAACCCCCACCCCTAGCAGTGTAATGCTGGGCGAGTAAATAGCTTTCCCTCGGGACTCTGCCCCTGGTCGGGGACGAGGAAATGAGAAAAACGGGCACACGCGAACGCAAAAGCGCAGGAAGCCCCTTTCCGCTGCGGACCGAGGGGGAGGGGGCACACCAGGGGGGAGGGGAGGCGGAGGCCGGTGGTACGCCCCATTCCGCGCCGCACCCCCGCCATCCCCGCTGTGCGCTTAGCCGCCAGCCCTCTGCTGGCAGCACGTCCTCCTCCGTTCCTCCCCTTTGGGCCGAAGGGGTGCGGGCCAGATCCCCGGGGACACGCCGGGCGCAGGCCGGACAGTCGGGCGGGGGACCGGGACCCGAGCCAGCGCGCGGCCAGCGGATCTAGCTCCGAGGTCGATGACGTCTTCGCCTCTGGCTCCGCCGGCGCCAAGCCGGGCAGGGCGGGTGACGTCACCGCCACCGGTCACGTGACTGCCATTCAACAAACAAACCCCCTCCCCCTCCGCGCTTACTTAGTCCCTCCCCCGGGGAAGCTACATATAAGCGACTCCGGCGGGCCAGGTTCGCTGCGAAGGACATTGGGAGTTAAGTTGCCAGTCTAGTCAGAGGGTATTCAGGGGAGCATCAACGAAAGCCACACCAGAGCCTCTCGCCCTGTTCAAAGGCAGTTTGGCGTTCCACCCAAAGAAAGTCACCAGCGTCGGGCTTCTCCTGGAAACCCGTCGCCTCCCTGCCCTTGGTTCCGAGGACAAAGAGCACAGCCAGGCTTGCACGCTGGGGGCGCTGGGACCGGCCATGGTCATGGAAGTGGGCTCGCTGGACGCCGGAGGCCTGCGGACGCTGCTGCGGGAGCGCGCGGCGCAGTGCCTGCTGCTCGACTGCCGCTCCTTCTTCGCTTTCAACGCCGGCCACATCGCTGGCTCGGTCAACGTGCGCTTCAGCACCATCGTGCGGCGCCGGGCCAAGGGCGCCATGGGCCTGGAGCACATCGTGCCGAACGCCGAGCTGCGCGGCCGCCTGCTGGCTGGCGCCTACCACGCCGTGGTACTGCTAGACGAGCACAGCGCCGCCCTGGACTCCGCCAAGCGCGACGGCACCCTGGCCCTGGCGGCCGGCGCGCTCTGCCGCGAGGCGCGCGCTGCACAAGTCTTCTTCCTCAAAGGTGCGCCCTCGGGGAATCTCGGGGAGACCTACCAGCCCCCTGCCGCCAGAGCGGGACGGGGTGGAGGGGTTTGAGTAGAGCTGACCCTCACCTCCTGCTACACCTGGAGCTCGGGGGCGCCCGACTCGTATTCTGGGGGCTTGACATTGGCTTTGTTTGGCTCCAGAACAAAGACTCGGGTAAATTTCCAGCCCCGGTGGGTGGGGGAGTTATATGAAGGTGCTGTATCCCAGCGGTACTAATGGAAAGAAATCTCTTTGTATTCCTAGGAGGATATGAAGCTTTTTCGGCTTCCTGCCCAGAGCTGTGCAGCAAACAGTCGAACTCCATGGGGCTCAGCCTTCCCCTGAGTACTAATGTCCCGGACAGCGCTGAATCAGGGTGCAGTTCCTGCAGCACCCCGCTTTACGATCAGGTTAGTAGCGGGTCGTACCAGAGGGGGGAGAAACAGCTGACAGAGGCTTGGAAGAGCAGTGCTAGTGAGAATATATAAAGCAACCTGCCATTGTGTCTGTCACAGAGGGGACACAGGGATATTACTTATCGCACGGTTAAGTGGTCTGCTTTAGCTGAGCCTCTTAACTGCTAGCACTGCAGAAATGACCACTGGCCTTGCCTGGGCAAGTGGGTTTAGTCCTCAATTTATTTATACTCCCAAGAACTGTGCTGAGAGAGGTCACCCAGTTTCTGAAACTGACTTTCCCAGTGGGAAGTTGTTGTGGGTGTGGGGACCAGCATGGACTTTGACCAAAGCTTGACAAATATTGGCTCCTTCTGGATTTCAGGGTGGCCCCGTGGAGATCCTGCCCTTCCTGTACCTGGGCAGTGCCTATCACGCTTCCCGCAAGGACATGCTGGATGCCTTGGGCATCACTGCCCTGATCAACGTCTCAGCCAATTGTCCCAACCATTTTGAGGGTCACTATCAGTACAAGAGCATCCCCGTGGAGGACAACCACAAGGCGGACATCAGTTCCTGGTTCAACGAGGCAATTGACTTCATAGGTAAGTGGAATTGATGCCAGAGACTTTTGCCTCACCCCCCACCCCCCCTTCTTAGCCACTGAGCCCAACACTGTAGCCAGGACTTGAGTGAAATTATTCTGGTCCTTCCTCCAGACACCACATATCAGTCTGGTGTGGGTAACATCCCTGTGAACTATGATGTTGATGTCCCAATGTACAGATTAGCAAACTGAGGCTCAGACAGTTGAATTCACCCAGCATCTGTTTGCTTAGTGGAGGGCCAGCCAGTCGGGGTTTAAGTTCCGTGCTTTGCACGTTGCCTCCACAAACAGTTTGGTGGCCTGAGGTGACGCTGACCATCTCTGCACTAGATGCACATGGCAGTTCTTCAGACACCCTGTGCCAGGGACTGGGGTCGTTCTCCCGAGCTGTTGAGTAACCAGCTGCCCTTTGTTTTCCAGACTCCATCAAGAATGCTGGAGGAAGGGTGTTTGTCCACTGCCAGGCGGGCATTTCCCGCTCGGCCACCATTTGCCTCGCGTACCTCATGCGGACTAACCGAGTCAAGCTGGACGAAGCCTTTGAGTTTGTGAAGCAGAGAAGAAGCATCATCTCTCCAAACTTCAGCTTCATGGGCCAGCTGCTGCAGTTCGAGTCCCAGGTCCTGGCCCCACACTGCTCAGCAGAGGCCGGTAGCCCGGCCATGTCCGTGCTGGACCGTGGCACCTCCACCACCACCGTCTTCAACTTTCCCGTCTCCATCCCTGTCCACTCCACGAACAGTGCACTGAGCTACCTTCAGAGCCCTATTACGACCTCTCCCAGCTGCTGAAAGGCCACGGGAGGCGATCTGCACAACCCACCTGGACTCCAGGCTCCTTCCTGAGAAAGGCAATAACTCCAGGGAAGGGGCCCGCGAGGGCTGGTCCTTATTTATTTATTAATTTCACCCGAGTTCCACTGGGTTCCAGAGTGCGGTCACAGGGATGACTGAGCGTCCAGGCATTTGCTGAACTCAGCACATTCGGGACCAATATATTGTGGGTACACCAAGTCACCCTGACAACAAGGGGCGGAAGAGAAAGGGACTCAGTGTGAGCCGGTTTCTTTTCGCTTGCCCCCATTTCTATTTTTATTTTTTGTAGAAACTTCATGCTTGACATACATACCAGTATTATCATTCCCGACGACACATATACATATGAGAAACATACCTTATTTATTTTTGGGTGGGTGGGCTGCCTTCCCAAAGGTCGGCGTCCACTCCTAGAAGAACCAAATACCTCAATTCTTGTGTTTGAGTACTGTAATGCCCTGTAAATACACCCCGACCAGGTTTGTCTCCAGCACTGATGGAAAGCACCAGTGTTTTGGTTTTTGTTGCCAACAGTTGTAAATTTGCCGATTATTTATGACCTGAAATAATATATTTCTTCTTCTAAGAAGACATTTTGTTACGCAAGGATGACATTTTTTTTATACAGCAGAATAAATTATGGCATTTCTATGGAACTGTCAGTGCTTTTTACTTTTATTTTTAGGTTTTATTTACAGGGAGAGGGGAGGTGGGGAGAGAAACAGTGCAACCCCAAGTGGGGACCTGGCCCACAACCGAGGCACGTGCCCGGAAGTGAACCGGCGACCTTTAATTTCGCAGCCCGCTGAGCCACGCCAGCCAGAGTGATGCTTGCTTGCTTGTCAGCCCCCCTGATCCCTGTCCCTCTAGTGATGAAATTGGGGTTCGGATGCCACACTGTGGTGTTCTGGGTTGTAATACAGGTAGAGAAGTACCATCTGTCGTGAAAAGCCACAGTGCTGCGGCTGAGCTGTTAATATTGGATCCAAGTGTCCCTCCATGTATCTCCTACCACGCCCCTCAGGGCGCCTGTGTCCCCAGAGCCAAAGGCCTTCCTTCTCCCTGGGAGCTGTGCTAGTTTTGAGGACGACTGTGTATGCTTGCTATGGGTGGGCGAGGTGATGTGTGTTCCCTTCCCCCCAGGCAACTCTTGCCTGGTTAAAGGACAAACAGATGGTTAAAAACCCAAGCACCATAGGCAAATACAACACAAATGACCTGAGTGCCCCACCCCCAACCTGGCTGGTACTGCCGGGCCAGAATCTCCGCCTATTGGCGCCCTGTGCCTTTGGTGGCTGCCTGAGGCTCACGCAGCTCACTCGTGGCTCTGGTTTCAGAGTTTTGTCCAAGAAGCTAGGCAATGAAATCCGACTTGCTCTAGGGCAACATTCTGGATTTTTACTCCCTCTTGCCAAACAGTCCAAAATAGAGAAGGTGTCCTTGACCACTAATCCATTCTCCAGTCTATAGTGTTGAGTTAAATAGCGGTGAACTTCCTGGATTCCTGACCCCTTAGCTCCGGCCCCACCCCACCTCCTTGTTTCTGCACTGAGGGCTGTTAAGGAGCAGGAAAGAAAACATCCTACTACTAGGCTTTTCCAGTAGCACCCTGAGGGGTGGGCTGGGTCCAGCCCTGTTATTCAAGGCCTTGACGCAGAATCAGTGTCCTTGACCTTTCCCCATCAGTTCACCATCTGCCACCTGACTTCCAGGGCCTGAAAGATCCCTGTGTTCTAAGGTCTGAGAACTTACCCTGGGCTGGCAGGCTCATTTCCTCAGCTGGGCTTCCGATTTCATGCCTTTCAAAACAAACCGTACCCTTGTTTTAATCAGACCCTAGACATTGACTATTGCCCATCTCTCCCTTTGTGGAAATGTACCAGTGCCTTTGAGTCGGTGGTGGATGCCATGGCTGACTTCCCCATGGGCTCCAGCCATCACTTTCTGCTTGGCAGGCTCCGGCTGAACCAAAATTAATCTCCACTGTGATCCGTGCAGTGGAAAAATACAGCGGCCGCCTGGGGAGCCTGCAGAGCAAAGGACTCACTCGCTTCCCCCAGCTCCAGAACTCCCGCTCCCCACCCCAGAAGGGCCAGCGCCGCCACCCTCCTCCCCAGGTATCTGCCGCCTGAAGACGCCTGGTCCTCAGGCCCTGCAGAAAATGTCACTTTTGGCCTGAAACAGCTTTACTTAGGGAAACAGAAATGTGCCTCCTGTTGAAAAAAAAAAAAAAAAAGATGTCTTAATTATTAAAATGGCTGATTCTCCATGGGGGATTGAAATAGAGACCAGCCAATCATTGAATTCTGACAATGGGGTGATGACTGCTAGCCACCTTCCCATTAGACAGAGGAGGCTCAGGGAGGTGAAGGAACAGCCTTTTGATTCTAGTTCAAGGACGTACAGCAAGTAAAGGACATTGCAGAGACTGGAACCTGGGTTGGTGAGAAGAGTGGGGACCCCAGTCCTACTTCGGTCCAGAAGACAGCTTGAGGGAGTGGGGAAAAGATGAGCTTTGTAGCCAACCAGGCATCACCATGGTCTTTACATGTAATTTTGGGGTCCCAGAATTACATATAAATGTAATTTATCCGCTGGGGCCTCAGTTTTCTCATCTGTAAAATGAAGAGAAACACTAGGTCCCTTTCCCCTCTCCTAGTGACCTCTGTGACCTTGGGGCTCAGTCCTCCTACCCCTAAAATGGCCACTTTGCCCTGTATCTAATGGTCAAGGCTACTCCCAAACCTCTAACTCTGGGACAAGAAAAATACATCGATGCAAACTTGACGTTTTTCCGTGGTTTCCAGGCACCCATTATCCCTTTAGGATACTCCCCACCCTGAAGGCCTACCTCCACAGCATCCTCTCCTGTCCCTGGAAATTTTGCAAATCGCGGCTAATTGGCTTTGAATTTGCAGCCTCCGGAGTCCTTTTCCCTCTCTCCCACCCCCACCCACGGAGGGAGGATGCCCTCTTGGTGTGTACACCTTTAAGGTGATATAAATCTGTGATTCTACAGTCCATCCCCATGGTAACGCGGAGGAGTTTCCCTTTTGTGAGGAAAGCTGTCATGTCACTTCCTGCTGCTGACAAATCAGTTTAGGAGATTAAAACGCAGGAGGGCGGGACCCGGCGGTTTCTGCAGAAGTGCTGGCCCTGGTGGTTTCTGGTTGCCATGCGCACGGCAAACAAAGCCCAGCGCGCGGGGGCAGCCCCGCCTGGCTTTCCCACACCTGCCCGGGCCGGTGGATCCAGGTCACCCCGCGCTGTGTTTCTCTGCAGGTCGCATTCTGGGGAGCAGGTGGGAGGGCTGCCCACCTTTGGGGACTTCCCTGGGACTCTGCCGGGCAGGCCTGTTGGAGAACAGCCTCTGGGGCCAGCCGGGCGTCTGCTCCCCGCTCCCCGCTCCCCCCACTCCTGAGAACAAAGGGTGTGCGCGCTGCTCGCACCACAGTGAACAAAAGCTGCTCTACTGAGGAAAATACCATAAAACCACCCTTTTCTTCATTGTGGCTTTTTAAGCTGAGCATCAGGCGCTTTCATTCATCCATCCATCCATTCGTCAAATATTTATTGAGTGTCTATGGTCCCAGGGATTCTTTGATGCAACAGAAAGATCCTACTTTCTAGTAGCTAACAATGGGGGGCGGGGAAATCATATAAATAAGACAGGAAATCAGATAAGGATGAGGGCTATGAAGGTGGGATAATAAAAAGGGGGCGCCTTTAGATTTTGGGCCGAGGGGTGGCTAAGCTAAAACTTGAATGCATAGAACCCAGATGCTGGGAAGAGGCTCCTGGGCCAGGAGGGCAGCAAGCTTGACCTGGGGTCAGCTAGACCTGGGTTTCAGTCCTGACTCTGCCCTTTAGTAGCTGGGACTCACCGCGGGAAAGTCTTTAAACCTCCGTTTAGACGCAGGCTGGTAACCCCTGACTTTTAAAGGCTCTTTAAGGATTAAATGGAAGGCGGCCACCTCGGAGCACATCAGAGAGGCTTGGGAAAGGCTCCTTGTCCTCGAGTGACTCGGCTGGTGCCCATTCTGTCACTTGGGCAACAGTGCCCCTGGAGAAAAGTGTTGTCTTGGCTCATGCAGACACTCCTATGGGGCTGTGCTTGGCTCGGTAGGAGCTTTTGTTTGGAGACCGCCAGCACCCCCCCCCCCATTGCCTATGCAAGGGGTGCCCTTTCTGGGCCCGGTTTTCTCCTCTGTAGGGAACGCCTGGAGCGGAGCGACCCTCTACCCTGCCTGGCTGTCAGCTTCAAGCCCCTGCTCACCCGAGCCTGGGGAGGCTCTGGAGTCTCTGCGGTTGTTTGGGCTGTTTCAGGGAGGCAGAAGGGAGAGGAAGTAGACACCTTCTGGGAAGGGGCAGCAAGGGGTCCTGGGCCTTTGGAAGGCAGATTGATGTAATGGCGATGCCACCAGTCCCTGCAGAACTGGATTGTCACAATGTCCTGCGGGGGCTTCACAGACACCCATCCCCCGAGCCCACCTTTCTTTCCGGCCCTGGCCCATCCTCTGTTGTGTACTACACTGCGAAGTTCAGGTTTAAAAGCTTCATCCGGGCAGCCACCAATGGACACTTGACATTGACTGGCTCCTTCTTTATTCTTTGTGTATTCATTCATTCATTCATTCATTCATTCATTCATTCATTCATTCAACAGAGTCATCCAACATCCCCAGAGCCAAGCACGTCACCTTTGATTTTTCTTTTTCTTTTTTAAAAAATTATTTCCTTTTAGAAAGAGCAGAAGGGAAGGAGAAAGGGAGAGAAACATCAATGTGTGGTCGCCTCTTGCGCACCTCCTACGCACGCCTTCTACTGGGGGCCTGGCCCACAACCCAGGCATGTGACCTGACTGGGAATTGAACTGGCAACCCCTTGGGGCCCTCAGTGGACCCTCAATCCACTGAGCCACAGCAGCCAGGGCCACCTTTGATTTTCAACTCAGTATATACCTCTTTAGAGCCTGTCTCCCTCTCCGTCTGTCTCTCTGTAGGAACTCGTTTCCCTCTCCAGGTCAGACTCGCTTAGGCACGGAATCCAAGGCCCTCCGGGGTGTGACCGCTGCCTTCATTTCCAGCGTCATTCTCCCTGTCACCACTCCTGTCCACAGACGTTGAGCCTTGTAGTGTTCACAGCACAATATGCTCTTTCTTGCTACATACACTTTGGCACATGTTATTCCTGCGGCTTGAATACCCTTCCCCCTCTCAAAACCCGAGCAGATCGGTGAAGCTTTCCTTGACCGTTCGACTTCCTTGTCTCTGCCGCTAGTTCCACCCCACTGCTGAACCCAAGGGTCAGAAATTCAACCACCTCCCGGGCCAAGCAGGTCACGTAAGTGAGAATTGGGTCACTGGAGACCGTGGAGACTGAGGAAATGCACCCCAGGGAAAGCTGCCACTCAAGCTGGGAATGGAAGTCCAGTGTGGCCGGACCTTCCAATTTCTTTTTTTCCAAGAAGCCAGGAATTTGTATTTTGGGGTGAAGCTGCTTTCAGAAGCTGTGTGTGGGCCAAACAAAAGATCCGCAGCCTGACCCTGATCCGGCCCAGTGAGGGGAGAGTGTGGCTGCCACTGGCCACCTGTTTTTGCCTCTCAAGGTCCGCGCCCCACCCCTTGTGCGTCTCTGGGCCCCCGGGACTCAGCCCAGGGCT